ATATTGATTTTAAATACAGCTCTCAAAGTATGTCTATAACTGAGCACAATCACAATTTAATCTGTTTCTCAAAAATGTTTAAATACTGGTCTGCCCTGCTAGATTTCCATACCTCACTCCCAGTGGTGATATTCGAAATATTTAACAAAGGGTTCGTTAACAGAAAATTTTTCCTTAACAATTTTTTTTCACTCAAACGGTGCATTAGCAACATTAGTGCAAAAACTGACCTTAAGATACCCCTATAAATAAAAAAGATTGCAACATTAAGTCAGTTAAAATTTAACATTTTTTATGCCAGAACTCTATATATATATATATATTAGGTTTACTCTTTTTTATTATTATAAAAAATANGCGTAAACAGACTAACATGGCAGAGTTGAGGATGAGTTTCAATGAGTGTGAGTTCGTTCATTGTTAAAATAGTGTAAATTTGTAAACATATTTGCAAGAACTTTGTTTCATCGCAATTTCTACGAAATTCCCGGACTGTCCAGGTGAAAATCGAACGTGTGGTAACACTAGGAACAAAGAATGAACTGCATGCATCGATGAATCAAAATTCACATATTGCTAACATCGATTCAGGATCGATGTTTCAAAAACATCGGAAGGTCGATGCATCAACGAACAAAAACATCGATGCATCGCACAGCACTAGACTGTACCTAGTTTCAAGAACTCTCTTGAGTCGATCGCGATTAAACCTCGTTTCAGTCGAGATTGAAACGGTCGATGGAGGTTGCACCAAGGTGAACAGGGTATAAGGCTCTAGTTTAGTAGTGTTACAGAGTATAATACATATATTTTAATATATTTTTTAAAAGAAACAAAACCACTGAGAAATGTCACGTGTGTTTAACAAGCTTTGGAAAACTTTAAAATGTTAACAACAAGTTTGGAAAACTTTGAAAATGTTAACAATGGGTTCGGCTGAACCTGTGCGAACCCGCTGAATATCACCACTGCTCACTCCCCCAGATTTTGGGGTCTCTGGGGGACATTTCCAGCATTTTCTGTAGGAAAAACTACAATACTGTGCAGCAGTAAAGGTTTAAGTAAAGTTTTATTAAAACTGTGGTCTGAAGACCACGTGTTCTGTTGCGTAACTGGCTCGTAACCAGCTCCTTGGGTGGTTCACAGAGTAAAGGAGGGATGGGCCCTCATAGCATAAAAGTTTTCTGTTTGTTGTTGTAAAAGTTAATGGGAGGAGGGGACTGTAGATCATGTGTTCTATTGCATAACCAGCTCCTTGGGTGGGCCACAGAGTAAAGAAGGGATAGGCATTCTTGATAACAACCAAAAAAAACCTGAAAGAGAGGGAGATCGTGCATTCTCAACAGAAGAAGTGTGACTTTTCGAAGAAAGAGAGAAGAGAGAAGATGTGTAGATGATAGTCATGAGATATTATTATTATTTTTTCTGTTGTTTCCTTTGTTTTAGTGTGTGTTATAGTGAAGGGACAGAGTAGTGATCAGAAGGACTAGAATAAACTTTAAGTTCCTTGCATTGGAGTCATAGAGTGTGTGATTTATTTCTTTGAAGTTTCCTTTTGTTTTGTTCCTGTACGGGGAATACTCTAAAGATCAAGTACGTCCCCACATAACTTTACTTAAACCTTTTCCACTGTACAGTAACTTTTTGGGCACCCAGTATAAAATATTTTATATTCATATATATTAATTTTACTTACCAATGCACATTTTCATTGAATGCATATAAATATCTTCTATTTCTTTACTTAAATCTTCTACACATTGTTTAAATTCTGGTAATTTTTTAAATTTTGGATGTAGTAATTTTGATAAAAATTTCATTATATTGAAAGGATATGGATTAATCATTTTATCATCAATTCCAAATTTGATGTAGTAATAATATCTCTGAAATAATTAAAGAAAATTTTCATTAAAATGAGAGCATAATTTAAAAAATATTTATCAATTAGTCATTAAAAGTTTAAATTTTGTCTTCATTAAAATATTTATAATAAAAATTAAACTACTGAATTTCACTCCACTAATAATAATAAAAAAAATAACATAAAAATGTTTTTGAAACCATAAAACTGGGATCAGTATATCAGGCTTTTATCAAAATAGTAATTATACCTGATGCCAAATTTGTAAATAAAAAACACAGTGCCTTTTGGCATTACATTAGTTTAATTCAAAAAAAAAGTAGGCACAATGCTTTCAGCATTGCATCAATGTCATCCTCAGGCAGAACAGAATGTATTTAGAATATGAACAAAATTTGAATGGATACATTAACATAGTCCAAAAAGAGTTCTTAAATAGAAATTGCACTTTCTTAACAATTTTTGAACAACTTTACAAAATTTTTAGATCAAATGCAAATAGAAACAACATGATATGAACAAGTTTTAAATACATAAAATGGTGTAATGTAAGATATATTAGTTTTAATATAAAACACATGTCAAGAATAACTGAAAATTAAAATCATAATAACATAGTTTTAAACTATGCAAAACCTTAGTCAACTATGAATTTACCATGAGTTTTCTTCTATATAAATTTATATAATATTAAGTTTTTATCATATGCTACTTGATATTATACTGTGAAAAGTGCGCGAAATTAAAATTACCACAAAGGCAGACAGGATACGGTAAAAATGATAAATGATATATTTTTACAATTAAACAATTTTGCGTACATATATAGATTCTTGATTGAGAATTCCAACATCACAATACATTACAATCGTATGCAAATTTACTGCTAAGACAATAGTTTGTTAGATCTAAATGTGAGGTACCAATCCCGATCGCAACAAGATGCAGCCCGAGCTTAAAACTAATCTTATACACTAACTTAACACTAATGGAAGAAAAGGATAGAAACAAGGGGACAAAGGAAAAATACATACAATAGAAACAGAAATACCCGGGATTTTGTTGGCGTATTTGCACTATGCGTGCTGTTGGGTGGGATGCCACACGATAATCTCCAAAAATTTGACTCATTGTCTTCTTCTTCTATACGTAAAAATTAAAAAGTTCCCTTTTTAATTTATCTTTCAATGTCGTCGACTCTCACTCAAAACAGGAACCCTTCTCTTAGCATACTTCCGAGACCGCCAGTCATTGCTAACATGACCCACAGTGTTCTCTCTCCACTTCCGTATGCTTCGAAGTTCCGCAAGAGAATGCCTTTGACCCTTCTCTGTTTGCCCTCAGGGTCCTGCTCACTCCTTTGTTTCACCATTTCTCGGAACTGGTCATCCCACCCAAGGGACAGAGATTAAGATAAGAAAGTTCTAGAAGGAAATAGAACAATAGGACAAATGATAGAAAGAAGAGATTAAACTAAACTTAAATTAATATGTACAAAAATATTGCGTACAGCTACAATAGGATCCTAATTATCACTAGATTCCAAATACTGAACCAAGCTAAGCATATACTGTATTTGCATGTGCCTAAGGTTTCTAAAAGTAAAATAGCTCTAGATACAAACTTAAATAATCTATGTCTAAAACTACCACTGTGAATATATGATAATAAGTGTCAAATAAAAACTGAATTTTTAAAGATTTCAGACTCCATGTGATGTAAACAACTGAAAAATAATGATATATATTAAGAAGTCAAATGTTTTCATAACAATTTTAGTCAAGGACACTCACAGGGAGAGACCAAGAAAGGCAAGTGTTCTTTATCCTTTCTTTTTTTCTTTTTTATTTCCAAATAAAGCAAGTTATAAGTCAAATGTTTTCATAACAATTTTAGTCAAGGACACTCACAGGGAGAGACCAAGAAAGGCAAGTGTTCTTTATCCTTATTTTTTTTCTTTTTTATTTCCAACTCTCAAAAAACAAATGTGTCAGAGACTTTTGAATCAATCTACATAAAAACTTGAGTACAGTCTGTCATAACAGATAAGATTTCATACACATTGACAAATAACACAAGATTACATATATTATAGACTTAGTTATTCTAGTCAACATTCTACACAACATCCAAAATACATGTATTGAAAAAAATCAGTAAGAACTCACCCATGAAATAAAGTGCCTGTGGAGAATAGATAAGGTAATTATCATGTCTTAATTCTTTCTAGCAGTGCAAAAAATACATCATATCACATTCACTGCACAAAATTCTAGAAAATTAAAGCTTCACAACATTACAGAAATTACACTATAAAAAACTGCTATACTAAACACATCATGTGGTCAGAAAATTCTTAAACACACACACACACACACACACACACACACACACACACACACACACACACGAACAACATTACAGAACAAACTATTATTTACTTATGCAGTGATTTTTGTCTGGTATGGCATTAGGCACCAGTATATGAACCAAATAGGATGCAGTTTACACTATAATAATAATAATGTGCAAAGTATTAAAGATAGTCAAAAAGTTTAATATGATGAATATAAAAATTATTTTTTATTTCAAATTCTATTTATACTGTTATAAACAGAATTTGAAATTTTATGTGATTTTATTTGAAACTGTAAATTTGTAAAATGAACATGAGAGAGAGAGNGATGTACTGGGCAGAAAGCAAAGTATGCGAAAAATTAACAAACCCAAACATGGATGTTTATTTTTCAATAATGGATAATATATTAAATCAGTGCTCTGTTACATTGATGATAGGATGTGACAATGCTGGTCACAAGTCCTACTTGACTTCCAGATTTTTGCACTTTTTTGTTACTTGTCGATTGCATTTTTTCACGCGAACGATTAATCAATCATTTATTTCATCAGTTGAAAGTAAAAACCATAGAAAAATTTCTCACTTAAAGTAAATTTTAATAACGCAAATAATAATAATAATAATTATTATTAATATGTATATTTTTTTATAATTGTGTCATAACCCTAGAAACTTTTAACATCTTTTGTGCACTGTGATGGATGAGTATCCTCTAATAAAGGGTTAATTTCACTGAAAAGACAGTTATGTTCCTCAGGGTGTGTGAAGATGTTTGTTTCTTCTAATTTTTATATCAAATAAATTATTCAGTGTGGTTTCTGTCATTGTCAATCTCATACTGCAGTTCAGTTATTAGCTTAGTGACAGCCAAGTGCAACATGTCAAGACTAATGAAACTCACTTCCTTTTCAATTTATGTTTTCTTATAAATCCTCAACTCTACCTGTATAAAACTGCTTATCAAATAGCTCCATAACCAGATGTTACAAGATGTGAGAATGGGTGAACCAGCAAGTCATTTCATTGAAAAAGACTAGCTGATCACTCTTTCATTGCCAGATGTCACTCATAGTGATGTGCTGGATATCCATATCCGTATCCATATCCGTGGATATCTGAGGGAAAAAAATCCGTATCTGTATCTGTTACTTTTTAGCAGATCTTTAACGGATCTTTTATCTTTATCTTTTAAGTAATGAATTTCATTACTTATATGAAATTTTAAAGATACATAGCAATAAAATACTAATAACTTCAATACTAAATACTTCAATTCAAATCACTTTTTATTTCTTAATTTAATATCACATATTTGGCACATTCATATTGCAAAAATTTTATCATGCAAAATTCATTTACTATCGTAAAATATTTCCATATTACACTACTAAACTTTTTTGTCGACAATGTTTTTATTTTAATTTAACTCAACACTCTCCAAAAATATAAACGGTAATCTATGCTATTCCGTGTCACACTAAACTATAAACAAAAACACGCGCAGTGCAAGTCAAAACACGTCGTGTTACTAACGCAAAGCGTCAACTATCAATCCAAGGTCACACGCACCGTGCCGACTGAGTACAAAAGTTGAGATCCGTATCTGTATCTGTATCCGCGGATCTAGACACTAATGATCCATATTTGTATCCGTATCCGCGGATATACATTTTTAACGATCTGGCACATCACTAGTCACTCACAATGACTGGTGAGGGGTGTTGCACCCTCTTGCATAACTGTGACTGTTACTCAAACATCTCCTTTCTGTTGTAATTTAGGGATGATAAAATTTATAGCATCTCTTTAGAAAGTGTGTTGAACAGTTTCCTGATGCTGTTGTGACAGTGATGCTGTCATAGAACTCTAGCAGAAAAATTGTAACTATTTTTGAAACACTATCCATAGTTCTCCCATGTTGAGATAAACATGCCTACAAAATTTTATTGACCTATTTCTAACAGTTTTGTGATCTAAAGTGATATGCTTTAATCACAGATATCCTGCATATTTGTTTTCCCAAGATAAAATTCTGCAAGTGCTTTTGTTCTCAGTATATTTTCATTTTTAAAGAGAATCTTTCATATATTGTACTATGGAAAGTTTTATTATTTAAAGATCATTTTTAAAAATGTAATGTTCAAGACAAACAGTCAAAAAACATTTTAGGATTTTAAAATTTTAAATAAGATTTTCTCTTATTTATTTACAAATAAACTAAAATATAAATACAGTAGAACCTCGATATACGACTTTAATCCATTCCTGATGTTTAGACTTATACCGAATTAGACGTATACCAAACCAACCTTTCCCATAAGAAGTAATGTAAAAATGATTAATCTGTTCTCATGTAAAAAAAAATGGCTGACTTTAAACACCTCGCTTTCCTGGCTAGTTCCTGCTTGGTTTTTCATGAGATCAGCATGTATCTTTTTAGCTTTCTCACAAATAGTTGCTTCTGATACGCTGTCTCCAGCACACTGTTTTTCAGTTACCAAAGCAAAAGCAATTTCTCAACATGATCTAATGTCTTCAATTTCTGTTTAGAAATTGATTTAACCCCTTTTGCAACATTAGCAGATTTAATTTCGCAATTTCTTCTGATTTTAATTCGTAAATAAAATTTTATTATTTTTATTAATCATGAATTGCAAAAAGGCAAATGAAAAGCAACAGAAAACTAAAAAATGATTAGGATCACAATGGAACTGATAAAAGAAATTATTGAGAAATATGAAGGTGGCATGCGTGTTCGAGATTTTAACTGTTTCATACCGTATTCCATGAACAATGATATTGACAATCGTGAAAAATAAAGACATTAGTCTTTATTTTCCAATGGCTCTTGAAAGGCCTGCCATGACAGACAATACATGTGGCTGCAGGATGTCACTAACCTACTGCTGGGCTGTCTCTTGTATCACAACTAGAGATAACCAGCTGTCATATATGATAGCACCCCAAACCATCACACCAGCTTTGGGGCAGTGTGCCACTCCAAAATGTAGGCAAGATTGAGGCATTCACCACAGGACCTCCAGACACAAACATGGCTGTCATCAGTGCCCAAACTGAATCTGGATTCATAACTGTAGATGACCTGGTACCATTCCTTTATGGTCCAATCCTGTTGGGACCAACACCATTCCAAATGGAGGCAATGGTGAATGGTGTCAATGGCAGCACACATAATGGCTGCTGCAATAACAAATGTTCCTCACCAGGCACCTTGAAATGGTATGGACAGACACAAGAGCCTGTAATGATAGTGCCACCTGTGTCCAGATGGTGTACAACAATACGGTTGGCTGTGTGCATGCTTGTTGGAGGACCAGTGGTCCTCTCAGGCTAGTGATCTGCCAAGGACATTCTGAGCCTGTGCACTGTGTGTATAAGCTCTCTCTCATCTACTAGTCCCAACACCTCCTCACAGTGTTGTCAGAATGGCTTAGGTGGACGGCTATTCAACAAGATCACCACCTGGCTTTTCTCAACCTGATGATCCTTCCCTCTCAAACTCAGTTAGTTGTTCATAAGGCATCTCTAGTGATATAGCATCCCTCTGCAACACGTAAATTACAAACAGGATGCCTTTGCATGCTTTTTTTTATAGGCCAAGGGGAATGCACTTTAATGTCCTCTGCTGGCATTATGCAATGAGCCATCAAGCTATAACTCTAATCATTTTCATATCTGCTTGAGACTTATCTGCATGCCAAGTTTTGCAGTGATATGACAATTCTTTCTTGGTGTGCTAATTTTTATAGCAAGAGTGTAATTCTTTTATATAAATTTTAAAATTTTATGGTAATTTATACATCTGTGAGGCTCTGGACAGGTCTGAATCCTCACTGAAATTCATGTCAAAATAATTTTTTTTAAAGAAAAAAATAGATGTTAGAAATAACTTTTTGTATGAAAATGGAACGCAAACTTTTAAACAATAGAAGAATGTAAGTCCATTGACCATTTCCGGTTGAGGATTGAATTAAACTTCAATTTTGACTTCTCCTGGGATCTAAGTTGAGATCTCATTACAATTAGTAACAAGTGGTCAATCACTTAGAAAGAGAAAACGAGGAAAGCCACCAATCGGAATGGGCAATCAAGGATGGAAATTAATAAAACCCCAGGAATTCAAGAACACGACAACTTCTCCCAAAAGTTCCAAGTGTCAGACCAATTGTTGTGTGTGAGTCTTGTGCCCATCTTTGTCTCTGTCTCTCATCCTCGGTTTGACATCTTCCCATCACTGAAAGTCAACCACATTGTCCCAGAGTCATCGAGAGAACTGTCATTCACGAACCAGGGACACTACTTCATGTACTATCTTGGAAAGGGGACTTGAAACTTCCAAAATCGTGGAAATCTTGTAAGCATTTTTTTCATGTCAATTAAACAGTTTCTTGTAACTATAGAGTCTGTCTCAGTGCTGATTGCCCACATATGAACTCTTCATGACACATCAACCCTTTTGACAAATTTCCATCCCTATCATTGTAAATATTTAAAACTACTTTAAATAATGTCATTTATTAATGAAAAATATCTACTTTCTACTATTATAGATAGACAGAAGACTTATAAATAAATAGATAGAGAAAACATTTCCAAAGAAAAACATTCTAAAACATATAAAATAAAGTTATACTACAAAAATGGATTTTGAATTGGATTTGCACTGAAGAGAAATGTACGTAAAACAATTATGGTACTGTACCTAGCAAAGATTCAGATAAAATATCTTTAAAAGTTAATGCATACTTTTCAAGTTTTTAAAAATGTTTAGTTTATGTAAGATTAAGTTATATACAATAAAAAATCCTTTAAAAAATATTGTAGTACAATCAGATCTCTAACATTCATAAAAAATAAAAATATGAGATTTAGTTAGACATCAAATCACATTTTTGATAAGTGAACTATCAAATTGTATATATAAAAAGTATAAAGTCTTTTTGTTGAAAACCTAGTTATTTTTTTACTATTATAAAAAAAAGAATATCCACCTTTATATCTTCTTTTGAAAGTTCCTTCTTAAAACAATATTCCAATTTTTCCAAAATCTTCTTTTTCTTCAATGGACTTAATGGTCTCAGGAGATTTATTCTAAATATATATATTTTAGTAGAAAAATCATATTTACATTTAAAAGTAATGAATTATTTCAAAACTACTTTACTTATTATTTTGTATTATAATTTTTTTTTTTTTTAAATGATTACTTATTACATATTTTTTATTTTATTTTACTGTTATAATGTAATAAATATTCTAAATATACAAATATCTTATTTAAAACACAATGTAAATGTTAATTATATTTAATTTCTATATTATCAAAAATGTTTTTACTGTTTATGAAATATTTAATGAGTAATAAATACTGTTAAAGAACATAACATGATTTTAGCATTTCTAGGAAAATAGCTACTTCACCAAATCTTCAAGGAGCTTAATAAAGAAGATTAAAAGAGATTTCATGACTTTCATCAGTATGAACTTCTTAATCATAAAGTAAAATTTTTATACAAATTTTTATTTCCGTATTAAATTTTAACTTTTAAAATTGTTAAATTAAAAAAAGTTATTCTTAAAGAGTATAATATTATTTATATTCATGATTAAAAAGTAATTTAATTAAGATTAAAGTTTAATTATACTGATGCCAATTTTATGTTAAATATTTACTATAAGATTTAATTTGTTTTTAATAAAAGGATGTTTTTAAAGTTTCACATATTATGATGGAGAAGAGCCTCAAAATAAAGATTGACTCTGCCATATGACTTTGTTGTGTCCTGAGTTGTGTGAAAAGTTTGAATTATAAAGACATCTTTTTTATATTTTAGTGTGTTTCTTCTAATCTTTTAAATTTTAATCATATATAAATTTCTTCTCAAATTTTATACTTTATAAATTAAAATACACTTTTCATACATATGTATATTTTATCAATTTAAAAAAGAATATATAATATAAATAGAGAAACTACATCATTCAGTGTATGTATATAGAAAAGATATATAGTTTTAATTTTATATACAAGTGGTACAAAAGTAGGTATACAGTTGTGAATTTGAGAAAAACAGATGTATGGTGTTCATTATTATTATTTTTATCTTTTATTTCATATTCCTTATTTGTGATTTAATTTATGTATGAAAATAAATGTTTTTTCTTCCATGTTTATTTCCTGCGTATTTTTTCTGTAATAACAATTGTGCACCTACTTTTGCATCCTTCTTTACTGGTATAAGCAGGATCATGCTAATAGATGAGCCTCTCAATTGCCTCAGGCACCAAGTTGAAAGGGATATTAAAAAAGCATCATAATGTTTATAGAAATATAAGTACACTCGCATTATTCTAAGGCTTGCCTCAGCTGCCAAAATTATTATAAGTAGTTTTCAATGTACATATATATATATATATATTAAATACACAGTGATAAATATAATTACATAAGTTTAACATACCTACATTGTTCTTCCAGATTTGTTGATGTTAAGTTGAAAATTTTGCTTTCTTCATAATTTAAAAATTTTCGTATATCTGATAAATTAAGAAATATTTTTAAAAAGTAAAATATTTTATCATCATCTATATTATTAGAAAATTGAATAATATATTGATAATGATTATATAATAATTATAAGAGCATGTATGATGGTATATTTATTTTATATTCATGTCTGTAATTAGAATAAAATATATTTATTTTTTTTAATTAAATAAAAAGGTGTATAGTATAAAAGACATATATTGATGCACAGAATAAGTATTAAATCATGAATATAGAATATAAGTGGTATCCAGAAAAAATGTTATTGTCATATATCTATACTACATTATAAATTTTATTTTCTTTAAAACCTGACATGTTTTCTCTATTGTCATACTTATAAGACTGATGCTTGTTTATATGTAAATATACTTTATAACAACTAAAATATAAAAAAGAAATTAAAAATGTATAGTCCAAATATAAGATGCAAATATTATATTTTTCTAAACACTGATAAATAAAATGATTATCTTCTGACGTTATAAGTGTACTGAATAATCTTCCAGAATTGGATTGATGAAATATGGCAATGCAATACTGGGGTGATCTGCAAGGGAGGTTCTTCCTAGAAGTCTTTCTATAGAAAACTGACCCCTATTTAGGCCTTAGACATGTGAAAAAAACCCAGAAAATTCTATGTAGTTAGCTTGTTGGTGAGATGAAATCTTGTGTCCAACTACCAGTGTTCAGTCATCCACTGGGTGGGTTGAATAATCTTTCAGATATTTAAAAAAAAATGTAAACAGAGACTAAAAAAATATTCTTTCCTATGATATATGATTTAATCCAGTATTTAAAATTCATCTCAAATACAAGATATTCATATATTTATTGGATCATAAAAGATATAGTTCAAAATAATAGAATAGAATACTGTTATGGTAAAATATAAGAAATATATATGAAATATCTTTCAATTTAAATATATTTTTATATACTTTAAAAACTGTAATTAATGAACAATAAATAATATTTGTTAAATAGAATCTATACTTTTAAGATTCAATATTCATTATTAATTTAATATTTATTATTAGTTTGTAAAATGTTTAATTTACAAATATTTTTTAAGTAATATCTTTATTGTACTTAGAACTTTATTTAACTTCGTTTATTGTAATCCTAAATTATAGCTTCAGTGTAATTATCATTTATTAAAATATGGTTTAATTCTAAATGTTTTAAAAAATAAAATAATAATGTAAGAGAGTATCTTTAATATAATATAATCAATTAACATAGAGATTAATTAAAAAATTAGTTATCATATTAAATTCATAATAGATATCTATTTTAGTGCATTTCTTTTTATTTTTTCATTTCTTAATGTAAACAAAATATCATTTTGAAAATCTAAATTTAAAATTTTGAATTATTTCATCTAAATTCTTTATTTCTTTTATCATCATCAACTATCATAGAATCTATTATTTTTAATCAATGAAGTTAATCAATGTATCCAATCAATGTAATCAATAAACAGTGAGTGAAATTTAAAAAATACTAATGTTTTCAACCTAGTTAATGGGTCATCTTCAGGCATGAACAGCTAACAACTTGATGGAATTTGACAGTTGAAAATGAAATTAGTTTCAACTCAAAGTCAAATTCCATCAAGTTCAATTACATCACACATCCATGTCAAAAAATATTTAACCTTAAATTTTACAAAAACTTAACATTATTCCTCTGTCTGAGAAGATGAATTTATAAAGTATAAATTGAATGTAATAATTTAAAAATTTGTTTCAAGTGTAATTTTATAATTACGATTTGTAATTATGTTTAATAACTGTGATTGTAATTGGTTGTTTTTAAATAAATATAAAGGTTTATACTTACATATTGTTATTCTATATTACTATATTCTATTTTTTTTTAGCACAAAAATGATCTCTATATCAAAAATAAGCTTTAGCTGTTAGAAATAGCTGCTTGATTCAGGAAACTAAAACCCTTAATAAATAAAACATTTTCAGTTATTATATATCTATCTTCAGTATACAAAAAAAAAAATTCAATAAAATAGAATAATGTAGACCATAAAATATAATGGAATTCCTCATTTTAGAATATACTATAATTTTATTCTGCAACATTCTATTCTGTTGAATGAATCTTTATATGCTGAGAACAGTCATGTAATTAATTTAAAATGTTCATTTATTAAGGTTTTTGCCTTCTGAATTAAGCAGAAATCTTGTTTATTTATTTATGTATTAGTTTTGTCTCAATTTCTATAGTTAAAATACACTTATGCACAGCTAAATAAATCATTGGTGTATTAAAATCATGATATTTTCATTTCTTTTACAGTTTTAATTTATTAATTTAACTAAGTTTTGTTATTATCAATAATAAATTTTAAAAAAAAGGATACACAATTTTTTATGTTTTCTTAGAAGTGGAATTTTTAATTCTTTAGCTAAAGGAGAATAGTTATTTCCAATTCTTTCACTTGGAGGTCGATGGAAGTTTTGTTCTTTAAATGGTACTGCTAGTGTCAATGATTGACTTTGAAGAAGAGGAGGATATTCATCATTTCTCCTTAATTTCTAAAATATAGCTTAGTTAGTTAATTATTTCAAAATATGAATAATTAATATAATGATATTTTTAAAATGTAATTTTATTCAATAATTATCAACTAATTGCAATCAGTAAGTTACAATGAATTAAAAATCTTTAATTTAGATTAAAATTACAAAATAATAATTGCAATTCAAATCACATTACAATTAATCAGTAAAAGATTGAATCAATCACAGTATGATTCCTATCTCTGACAATCACTACGAGGTCTGTTCAAAAAATATGCAGACTGATATCATAAAACAAAATGTACTTTATGTAGAAGTTACATGTCTGGGTCCCCTTCAAAGTACTCTCCTTCCCAACTCACACACTTATCCCAACAGTGTTTCCACTTGTTGAAACAGTCCTGGTACGCTTCTTTTGTAATGTCCTTCAGCGCCTTCGTCACATTTGCCTTAATCTCTGGAATCATCTCAAATCTTCTTCCTTTCAAGGGCCTTTTGAGTTTGGGGAACAAGAAAAAGTCACAAGGAGCAAGGTCAGGTAAGCAGGGGGGTGGGAAGAACAGTGATCGAGTGTTTGGCCAAAAACTCACGAGTTCTGAGGGGTGAATGGGCTGGAGCATTGTTGTGATGGAGAAATCAGTCGCCACTCCTTCACATTTCTGGCCTTTTGCGATGGGGACGCCATGTCCCTCAAACGTTTCAGAACTTCAATGTAGTAAGTCTGTTTACTTTGGAGCATTGGGGGAGGTACTCATGGTGAACAACACCAAAAAAAAAAAAAAAACAAACTGTCATCATCACCTTGACATTGAATCAAACTTGGCAAGCTTTTTTGGGTCTAGGGGACAACTTCAAACATGCCATACACTTCATAGCAACATCACTGTAAGCTGTGTTGAGCATAGCAAATGTTTCAGTCACAGATTTTCCAAGTTTAACACAAAATTTCACAGCAAGTCGTTGCTCCATCAGGTCATTCATTCTGAAATCCAACAAATGAAAAAATTGCACTTCACTATAAACCGTGTAGTTAATCAACAAATAAAGATATCTGTAATCGGTTATATACTTTAA